GCCGTCCTCAGCCCCTGCCCGAGTCCTCCGGGCCCAGGACCCCGACCCCCGCAGTGGGCGGAGCGGCCTGCAGCCCCTCACCTCGGGCCGCCGTTAGCCCTGGCAGAGGCCTGTGGGCTCCGAGGGGACCTGGGGGCTCCGGGGGGCCTGGAACAGTCGGAAATGGGCCCAAGTGTCCTGGAACTGCCCCTACTCTCGTCCTGTGTGCCCCCTGCCGGGTCCTTCCCGGCCCCTGGACAGGGCACAGCAGCCTCCGGCCCAGCACCTCAGGCCACCATTAGGCCTGTTGGGGGTCCTCTGGGCTCCCAGGGATCTGGGGGCGCAGACGAGGGAATGGCCCACTGATTGGGCGCGGGCACTGCCCCTGCCCAGGACCCTGCTGGGCTTCCGCCTCAGGCTGACCTGAGCTGTGTGGCCTTGGCTCACCCACTACAAGCGGTCTTTCTTTTTGTTTTTCTGAACTTGTGTTAATTTTTACCCATGGGAGCTGAAAACTGGGGGGTGGGTCTCAGATTCCCGTGCACTGGGCCTTGGCCTCCCCACCCTGCCTTGTCTCTGTCCCGTCTGGACTAGGAAGGGAACCTGACAATTGAAGCCTATTTTAGCCTTAGAGTTTGAAATGACAATGATAAACAACACTGATTAACTCAAGGACGTTTGCAGATAACAGGCTGAGGCATGTTGCAGAACACGTCTTAGTATTTCCAAGAAATTCCAAGACTTGTGTTTTGAAACTACCTCTCACCTCTGGTGAGAGCCAAAGAAGCAAAGGGAAGGCAGACATTTGCAGGGCCATACCCGGGTACTGGCAGGGCCTTCCTGACTTTCTCTTCCCCACCTTCAATACTGTTTGATGCTTTGCAGAGAAGTTATATAAGGATTTTTATCACTGAGGGAGAAAAGCACCCAAAGCCAATTTTCTTCTCAGAGGCCGGTGTGTTAGGCCCTCTCTAACCTCTTGCAGTGGGTAAAGGAATCCTTGCTTGCCAAGGATTCTGACATGAATATTTGGGGTCCAGAACTCAATTCCCAAGTTGTTATTACTGACATAAAATGTAAATATGTTAGCAGAAAATTTTAAAAGACTTAGCAGAATCTGAAAACAGCGGTTATTCTGGGGTGTGAGATTATGGATGATTTTAATCCTAGAATATGTTTTTTTTTTTTTTAATTTTATTTATTTATTTTTTCCCCCCAAAGCCCCAGTAGATAGTTGTATGTCATAGCTGCACATCCTTCTAGTTGCTGTATGTGGGATTCAGCCTCAGCATGGCCGGAGAAGCAGTGCGTCAGTTCGCGCCCGGGATCCGAACCAGGGCTGCCAGTAGCGGAGCACGTTCACCTAACTGCTAAGCCACGGGGCGGGCCCCTAATCCTAGAATATGTTTATGTTTATATTTACTACTGTACTACTACTGTACTGGGGAGGGTACAACAGGGTGCAAAAATGAAAATAGCCTTGGCCTCATGGGGCTTAGACTCTAGTTGAGGAAACAATTTAGTCAAATAAGCATATTGATGAGTTTATAACTATAAAAGGGCTCTAAAGATGGGGGTAGGGAGGCAGTCCTGGTCAGAGAAGGCTTCCCTTAAAAAGTGAGCTGGGGCTTGATACCAGCTCCACACAAGGTTGACATAAGGGAAGCCATATTATAGAAAAGAAATCATATTGTAACTTTGAATGATCTCTGATTAACTAGCCCAGACACGCTCTGTGGATTTATGGCCTCTCCCAGCTGCAATAAGTGGATAACTTTATTCTCTTGAGTTCCTTGGGAATGTGATGACCCCCGGGGCAGAGAGTCTTTGCGGATAGCCGTCATCAAGGACAACTGAAAGTCCTGGGTAGAGGATGTTGCTCCAGTCGCTGATGCATATCCAGTAAAACAAAAGACTACTCCAGTCGCTGATGCATATCCAGTAAAACAAAAGACTATCAGGAACTAAGACCAGATGTCTGGCCCCACCTGGAGATCAGATGGATGTCCTCACCCAGAGACCAGCTGCCTCCCCCACCTGGAGACCAGCCCTCTATATAACTGGCCTGTAGTCTTTGTTCTGTAAGGTGGTTCTTTTGGACACGAGTCGGTCATCTTCCCTCTTGCTAGTAAGCTATAAATAAAAAGTCTTTTCCCTCCAACACCTTGCCTCTTGACTATTGGCATGTCTTGTGGTGGGCAGATGGGTGTTTGGACGGTAACAAGCTGAGATGGAAAGGAAGGATGGATAGAGTTTACCTAGGTAAAGGGGGATGGGGATGGGGTGGTGGAGAGAGACTTCCAACAGGGAACAGTACGTGCGAAGGCCCTGTGGTAGAAGAGAGTGTGATGCCATCAAGAAATTGCCAGGTCAGCGTAGCTGAAGAGCACAAAGCAGAGAGGAAGAGGGAAGGGAGAAGGAGGCTGGTGAGGTGGGCAGGGCCAGACTACATTTAGCTCTTGTAGACCATGTTAAGGAGCTTGATTTTTGTTCTAGAAGCAGAGAGAAGGCAGTAAGAGTTTTGAAGAGTGATCAGATTTGTGTTTTTAAAAGTTCACTTGGGCTGCTGAGAGGAGAACTGGTGAGGGTGTCCCCGACTAATTGCCCTGAGGAACTCAAGGGAGGTTTTGGAAGCATTTAACTGTTTCTCCAAATTGTTTTTTTCTTTTTATTATGGTAAGAGATACAATCACCAACCACCATGAACCAGACTAAGCCCCAACACAAGAGCTACACCTACGACCTTCACCTCATTTTTAATGCTAAGATCATCTTTCTGGGAGGAGCTTAGGCCTCATTACCGTAACCTGCAGCGTATGTGGAAGCATGTTTTCCAGCTGAGCCTGGCAAGCAAATGCCGACCTCCCCCCACCTTTTTGTTTTTTGAGGAAGATCGGTCCTGAGCTAACATCTGCCAATGCTCCTCTTTTTTCCCTGAGGAAGACTGGCCCTGGGCTAACATCCATGCCCATCTTCCTCCACTTTATATGGGATGCTGCCTCAGCATGTCTTGACAAGCGGTGTGTCGGTGCGCGCCTGGGATCTGAACTGGCAAACCCTGGGCCGCCACAGCAGAGAGCACGCACTTAACCGCTTGCGCCACCGGGCCGGCCCCCTACCTCCCCCTTTTGAATGTTCATTCCCCATCGAAATAAAAGGCCCCTGCTGTCCTGCGCTTGGGGGACCACCATGACTTTGGAAATGATTCCTCATGGCCTCGTATTTGCTGCGAGTATACTTTACTTTGTGTGACTACTTCTGGCTGAGAGTCTGATTTTAACTCGCCCGGAGGTGAGCCCACTTTTGGTTCAGTGACAAGGGAACAAAAGACCAATGGGTTTGAGGAAGGCAAGAGGGGCAGTAGATCTTTGCCACAGGGCAGGTGAAAGATGACAGGGACTTGGACCAGAGTGGTGGTAGGGATGAGAGAAGTGGATACTTTTGAGAGATATTTAGGAGGAAAAATTGACAAACCTTGGTGATCAA